AGCCCTGCAAAACGTTTTGCGTATCAACACTTTGTTATTCTAGACACAATAGCAGTGTCTATCTGAATTAGAACAATTGCCTTGATATTTTAAAATTCTTTATTTTTATCAATAACATAGTTCATTGTACTCTCTGAAAAAACCTTGTGAATTGCCACGCTTTGACTCTATTTGGTTAAGTCTTCACTGAGAACTTTTCTCCATACCTTGGAGAAACCATCCCCTTTTCCTCGTAACCATGGTACTCACCACACAAGCCAGAAGGGCACAGCAGTAGAGTCAAGACCCCAAAGAGGCACACTGCTGGGGAAACACTCTGCAACTCCGGGGACATGGCACACAGTCTTAGAGGGACCACACTGGGGCTCAACGTTTAAGGACACCTTGTCTCTAAGTAGCAGTTGAAATGGTGCCTAAGCCAAGGAGCTCAGCCTTGGGGAGGTCCCAGCAAGTGTCACTAAAGGGGAGGGGCAGGGGGAGTGACTAGAAGACCAGGTGCTGAGCACAGCCCTGGCAGTGGCAACTGACATGACCCTTTCTTAGAGAGAAGAGTCTGGAGCTTGATGCAAGAGCCCCCTGTGATTCTGTGCATATTTTAGCAAGGCATGGGCTAGTCTCTTTCTGGATATATGCATGACTCCTCTCTGGGTAAACAAAACCAAAAGGCAAAAGGGACTGCAGCTCCTGAGGAACAGTGTGTGCGGTGGCTCTACAGAAATTCAAAGTCATAGCAGGAGAAAAAGCCCAGGCGACAAGCAGTTCCTGTCCAGAGTATGAATTGCTCACAGAAGAATGATTTTTTTAAAAAGATCTACAAAGTTAAATTTCTTTATCAGACATTCTTGCCAGAACAGAGTAATACAAGTCTCCAAGTGAACATACTCAAGAATCTAATCCAAGCAATAATAATTTTTACAGTAATTCCATGAGAAATTCTTTCTCCCTACTAATGTACCTAAGGCACCAAATGATTCACTCAATGATACTATTCTAGTCTGAAAATTAGTCTAGTTTGTGTTTGCAACACAGAAAAAAACAAAAAAAACATGCATTGAAACTTAACTGATTGAGGATGATGAATTAAGAAGAAAGGAAGATTTATTACAACTTTCGGAATAGCTGAATAATGTTTGGTCGTGGAGAAGCCCAGCATTTTGTCCCTAAGCACCAAAAGAGAAGTTGTTGAAAAGCATACTTGTTATTCTTCACGGGTGGCTAACCACAAGACTAAATTTCCCTTAGTTACATGGAACTGTCCAGCTATTCATCCAGACCTCTGCAAAATTTAGTCTCCTAAAGTGAGACAGATGAACTACCAATCTAGATTCTATGTCTTACCAACCAACTGTGGGTATCTGTTCCTGGAAGAGAGTTGTCCAAACAGTTTAGGACAAGTTGTCCAGTAGGCTCTGGAACTTGTCCTAAAGTGATCTTCACTACCAGTTAAGTTGGAATGACTGCTACATACCAATAACAGCCAAGATGCTTATCTCTCAAAAATACATAGGAGGAATTACTAAATATAACTGAGCGAATTTCTTTGGAATAGTGATGAAAGCACAATTGAACTTCAACTTCCTAGAGAGAGAGGAAAACAAATCCACTGAACAGTTGCTTCCTTTAGAAAGAGGAACCACAACAAAGAAATAATTTAAATGATTAATCAGAAGGCTTTATTAACCCGGTTTTAATTTTTAAGCATGCAATATACCAGACCTTTACATAAATTATCATGATTAATCTCAACCCTGTGACATGATTCTTATCTTCCTCATTGCATAGACGAAGAAACGGGTTCTGAAAGATTAAGTAAATGTCACTAAATCGCTCAGATCATTGGTGGCTACGTCAAAATCCCTGCAAGACTGATTCCAAACTCCAGGTCTTTTCTTTATACTGAAGTAATTTCAACTTATTGGCCAATAACGATGATCGGCCAAGACACTGACTCAGCCACTTGGGAGTAAATGGACACTTCTGTTGAGGACAGTTTGCTCACCGTGCAGGTGCTGCTGGTGCTGCAGTTGATGGGTTACACCTGTGACGTTCTGGGATGACAGGAGCCCCATCATCCAGATCCACATGGAAAGTTATAACCCAGTCCCCAGGAGTGTCGCGCCCGCCTCGCCAGCAAGGAAGACGCGGCAACAGGAGTTCTTCTGACAGTGCTTTAATGGGGTTTTCTTTAGACTTACATGATGTGAAAGACCCAGCCCGGCAGCGTGCAAGCTGCTATATACCCCAGAAGTACAACCCCTAAGCTGCGATAGGCCGCTCAACTGTCGAGCCACCAAAGCATTAGCCCATATCAGGACCCTTTGTTTGCATTCTCGCGCCACAGGGCAACTGACAATTATGCGTGCGCTGAACTTGTTAGCTGCTCTAGGCAAAGCCGGAAACAGGCGCCAACTTGTAATGGCGTTGACACCACGCCCCACACAGGAGCAACAAATACCAGGCTGATGTTTGGGTACAA